ATTCTTTGTATGTTATGAATCATAATCTGTACTCTTTGTCTATCCCTTGGGTGACATCTACTTAGCCTTAGGAATACTTCTGTCTATAGGAGTCCTTCCAAAATGCACTGTAGAGGTGGTTTGTGGGAGGTAAATTCTCTCAGCTTTTGCTTATCTGAAAATTGTTTAATCCCTCCTTCAAATTTAAATGATAACCTTGCTGGGTAGAGCATTCTTGGTTCCAGGCCCTTCTGCTTCATTGAATTAAATACATCATGCCACTCCCTTCTGGCTTGTAAGGTTTCTGTTGAGAAATCTGATGATAGCCTGATGGGTTTTCCTTTGTATGCTATCTTTTTTCTCTCTATGGCTGCTTTTAAAAGTCTGTCCTTATCCTTGATCTTTGCCATTTTAATTATTGTATGTCTTGATGTTGTCTTCTTTGTGTCCCTTGTGTTGTGAGATCTGTGCATCTCCATGGCTTGAGAGACTATCTCCTTCCCCAGATTGGGGAAGTTTTCAGCAATTACCTCCTCAATGACACTTTCTATCCCTTTTTCTCTCTCTTCTTCTTCTGGTACCCCCTACAATGTGAATATTTTTCCGTTTGGATTGGTCACACAGTTCTCTCAATATTATTTCATTCTTAGAGATTTTTTTTTCTTTTGGTGCCTCAGCTTCTTTGTATTCCTCTTCACTAATTTCTATTTCATTTACCTTCTCTTCTACTACATCTAATCTGCTTTTAAATCCCTCCATTGTATGTTTCATTTCAGATACGGTATTTCTTAATGATTGAATCTCTGACTTAAACTCGTTCCTGAGTTCTTGAATATTTTTCTGTACCTCCATAAGCATGTTTATCATTTTAATTTTGAACTCTCTTTCAGGAAGATTGGTGAGTTCAGTTCATTTGGCCCTTTTTCTGGGGTTTGTGAGATTTTGGTCTGAACCACGTTCTTTTGATGCTTCCTATTTCTGTGTGGTGCCCACTGGTGCCCAGAAGCTCCAGTCTCTGGAGCTGCTCAGCCCCTAGAGTGAGGTTGGGGGTCATAGGGGAGTGGAGCTGGTGCCCGGGGGAGGAGAGATCTGTTTCCTAATTCCCGTCTGTGGTGCCTGTCTCCGGTGTCAGAGCTAGTGAGCCAAGCACACAGGTGTAAGCCTCTGTGCTTTGCGTCTCTAGCTGTTGTGGGCAGGGCCTCCCTCTGGTTGGCCTGATCCCAGCACAGTGATTGCCAGTTTGCGAGCTGATGCCAGCAGGCTAGGAGGGAGGTGCAGCAGGCTGTGTGCCACAGTGGGGGGCCTTAGAGCTGAGCAGGCAGCCAGGGGGATGGGGTGCCTGAAGCTCCTCAAAGTTCCCAACCAGCTGGGCTGAGCATGCCCAGACATCCTTGTCTAGCTCTCCCCTTCCCTGCACCACAAGCTCCATGCAAACCCCACCCCTTCAGCAGCCCTCTCGCTGCTAGGAAGCCTCTCAGACCGCTGGCCTTTCCCTTGTCCCAGAGCGGTCAAATGTGTTCTCCCTCACTTCATATCATGAGAATCTTCTGGGCCCTGAACACACTGTGTATTTAAATCTGTACCAAAACTAGGCCAGGTTCTGGTTCACAAACTCTTTTCATAAATATCCTTCCTGTCTAGCAAGAGGCAGTTGGTTCAACCAGAGACCAACCCATGATGTGAATGAAGGGAAGGAGTTTAAGTTCCTTTAGAAAGCAAAAGAGGCCAGTGAGGAAGGGAGATTGGGGCTCTACAGTGTTTGTAAAAGAAAAGAGTGCCAGTGTGTCTGTCTGAGTGCACATTTGTCTGTGTGTGATGGACAGAAAGTTCTAATTTGCTGTGCTGTGTTCCCTCCAGATTATGACATGGGTGGTTTTTATTTTCTAAACTTTAAAACAAACAAATGAACAAACAACTGCATATAAGGAAAAGAACAATAAAGTTGTTTCCATTAAGTGTGAGAACTTGAAAAATATCTTAAAGTGCATATTTCAAAGTATTACAGGAGTTTTCTCTTGGTGATGTGATTAACAGCCTGTTACTTTGAAAAAAGCTGTTTTTAAAACACTTTCTTCTGTAAGTTTCAAGAAGCTTGATCTGTGAAGACAGCAACTCTGGGCAACACCCTTCCCCAAGGGAGACTGGTTCATGTAATGGGGTCATAGGCCAGACTGATAGGACTGGGACCTAACCTGGGGCCAGGCAGGGCAGAGTCCAGGGGTCAAAGAGAAATTTACCAAATTTCAGACAAATGACTGTCATGTGCTCTTGGCCCTCTGTGAGGCTTTCCCAGACCCCAGCTGTGTTGGGTACTCTGCTGTTCTGAGCTCTTGGCTGACTGTCCTGGTGAGTGACCCCCTCACCTGCCAGCTATGGTGCCCAATCAAGCCAACAGCATCCTTACCTGGGAGCAGACAAGCAGAGCGAAAACAGGTGAGGCTGGCCATGTGTCCCATCGTTTCAGCTGGTGGTGTGTTTGCCCAAGGACTATCGACCTGCCCCAACGAGGGCAATCACAGTGTCAGGTGGAGGTGCTGGAAGCCAGCAGGTCTTGGAGGCCTGCCAGGTGTTACAGGCACTGGACGGTGGCCTTGGTGAAGGGCTTCTCAGCAGTTTGCCAGGAGATGGAAACTTGGAATCCAGTGGAATCTTAGGCAGTACTCACACCTATGAGCCTCTTCTCCAAACAAGGATTCTGGCTACCAGCAGCTGACAGTTGGGTGGAGAGGTATATTCTTCAAGTTCTTTCATTGGTGTTTTATAGTTTTCAGCTTACAGATCCTGTTCATGTTCTGTTAAATTTATTCCTAAGTATTTCAATATTTTTGGAGCTATTGGAAACAGCATTGCTGGTATATAGATTTAAAATTATTTTAAGAGCTTTTTCTTGATGTCCTATGACCTTAATTAACTCAGTTCTAAGAGAAGTGTTTTGGGCTACTTTTTTTGGTTTTAATCATGTCATCTGCAAGTAGAGACATTTTTATTTCTTCTTTTCCCATCTGTATGCCTTTTATCTCTTATTCTTGCCTTATTATACTGCCTAGGAATTCTAGTATAATTCAAATAACGGTGGTGAGAGAGGTTTCCTTCCCTTGTTTCCTTCCCTTGCTCCTGATCTTCAGGGGAAAGCTTTCAGTCTTTTTATCATTAAGTATAATATCACATTTCAGCTTTTTTTATGTGACCTTTGTGAGGCCGAGGAAGTTCCTTTCTATCTTTGTTGACTGACAATTTTTTGAAACTCTTGAATGGATGACGTTTTTCAAATGCTAATTCTGCATCAGTTGGTATGATTGTATAGTTGTTCTTCTTTATTAATATAGTGCATTTCTCTGATTGATTTTTTTTCAAATATTGAAGCAACTTGCCTTTTCAGGATAAGCCCCACCTGATTGTAGTACATAATGTAATAAATACTTCTGAGCTCAGTTTGCTAAGATTTTGTTTGATTTTTGTATCAGTGTTTATGAGAGATATTAACCCATAGTTTTCTTTTCTTTCTGGCTTTGGTATCAGGTTAATGCTGGTTTTGTAAAAATGAGCTGGGAAGTGTACCCTCCTTTTCTCTTTTTGGGAAGAGTTTGTGTAGAATTGGTATCATTTCATCTTTAAATGTTTAATAGAATTTAGGCTGAGCAAAAAATTTTGAGAGGCTTTTAATTATGAATTCATTTCTTTATAATTAAAGGATTCTTCAGGTTATCTATTTTCTCTTTGATGAGTTAGTTTTCTCTCAAGGAATTTGTCCTTTTTACCTGGGTTGTCATATTTATGTGTGTTCATTGTATTTCCTTACTATCTTTTTAATATCTAACAGAGTCTGTACTGAGATCTTCTCATTCATTCCTGATCCTGATCATTTGTATCTTCTTTGTTAACATTTATAAATTTCACTGATATTAAATAACCATTTAGTTCATTGATTTTTCTCTATTAGTTTTCTGTTTTTAATTTTGTCCATTTGTGTACTTAGTTTTTTTTCCCCCTTCCTTCTGTTTGATTTGGGTTTATTTTTTGGTCCTTTAAAAAAGTTTTTTAAAGATCAGTGATTTAATACCTTTCTTTTTTCTTAACCTAAGCATTTAATGCTGTAAATTTCCCTAAGTTCCGCTTTAGCTGAATCACACCAATTTTGATATGTTGTTTTAATTTTTATTCAGTTCAAAATATTTCTGAACTTCCTCTTGGCCATTTATTATTCAGATGTATGTAATTTACAAATATTTGGAGATTTTCTTTTTAATTTTCTGTGATTTAATCCTAAGTCAATTGCATTCTGATCAGAGAGCATAATTTGATAATTATGACTTCAATTCTTTCACATGACTTTTAGGTTGGTATGATGATCCAGGTGGTTGTGTCTTTGTGAATGTTCAACGCACATTGAAAATAATATGAACCCCCAGTTGCTTTGCACAGGGCGAGATGGTGAGAGCAAGGCTGAATCCAAATGCCTTCCTATGACCTAGGGAGTCGTACAGCACTTTCACAACACCTGTCAGTCCTGTCCCATGAAGGAGGACGCCGTACCAGAGTGTGGATAACAGGAGGGGGATTTGTTGGCCACCTTGGAGGCTGGTGGTCAGCCTAGGAATGAGGGTTATTACTGAAGGGGAGGAAGAGGAAACAGACCTCTCTCTACTCCTCCTCTAGAATCCATTTGGATCATCAAAGAGTGGGCGGGGGCTGGCTTCACATGTAACTGACAGCTCTGCCTGCCTGTGTGGAGGGAGATTCCGAGGCTTCCAGGCTCAGTGGGGAGGACAGATGCATCCCTGACCTCTCACCTCCTTCTCAGGGTAGATGAGAATTCTGAGAAGTCAGTCTGTGCAGAGGGGGCAGTGGTGTCTGTGTAGTCTCTGAATGTGGCTCCCCAGCCCCTACGGTGTCTGTCTTCCCTTGCCCGGCACTAAGGACCTGGAAGGCATAGGCATTGAAAGCAGTGCAGTTGGAGACTGACAATGAGGAAGGGGCTTGCATTCTCAGCCACCCTCTGTGCCACGTTCTCAGTTCATAGATTAGGAAACAGGCACACAGAGAGTGAATGTGTAGCCGTAGGCCACATAGCTGGTGAAGGCAGAGCTCAATATAGTCTGATCAGAGCGTAAACCCAATGTAGTCTGATACGGAGTCCATGTGCTATGCACCATGAGATGCTGATGCTGAGCGGGCTGCAAGGAGAGAGAGAGGAAGACCAGGTGACCCAGACTGAGCCAGGCACATGTGCATGCACACACCCCTTTCTGGCTTTCATCTGTGAGGCTACAGTGGTCCGAGGAAACTAGGAGTGGAGCCAGGAGAAGGCAAGGGAGGAGGGCGGCAGTGGAGGGAAGGGGTCTATAGGAGGAAACACCACATTTTTCAGGATACCAGGGGATTCCCTTTCCTTATGAGTCTGTCTCAAATCCTAGACTTCTCTCCCTGGGCCCACTAATCAATTCTCCAAAGACCTACCCCAATTGACTGCAGACATATGCCTTTCCAGGGCCTGAGTGCCTGTGGAGACCTGGGCTGAGAGTTTGTGTTCTCTGTGGTCCTCTCAGATCCTGCTTTCAGTGATAAGGGGGGAAGGAAGCATGGGGTCTGGACTTAAGATTTGTTTGGAGACAAAATTTATTGGAACAGGAAGCCAAAAAGCCATGTAGGGGGTTGGTGTTAACATCCCCAAAGCACTTGAGGAATTTCTCCCCCACTTGTATACTTCATTTCTTGTACTGAAAGTGAGATTTCTGCACCACTTATTTTTGCACTCATAATTGGAGTGTAAGGGGTCAGGAGGCTTCCTTTGAAGATTGCTCACAGCATGAGTATGGAGTATATATGGTTACATTTGTTCTCCTGTGGTTGTTGGGATGCTATTTATTGGCAATGGCTCACTCACCATAACCGAAACACAGGACTTCTCCCCCGTGTGTGTCCTCTGGTGTCGGGTGAGGTGTACCCTCTGTGTGAAGCTACGCCCACACTCCCTGCAAACATAGGGCTTTTCCCCGGTGTGTGTCCTCTGGTGTCGGAGAAGGTGTGAACTCACCGTGAAGCCCCGCCCACACTGCCTGCAAACATAGGGCTTCTCCCCGGTGTGTGTCCTCTCATGTTGGATGAGAGTCCACTTGAATGCAAAGCCCTGTCCACACTCTCTGCAAACATTGGGCTTCTCCCCAGAGAGTGCCCTCTTGTGTCGGATGAGGTGTGACATCTGCGTGAAGCCCTGCCCACACTCCCTGCAAACATAGGGCTTCTCCCCGGTGTGTGTCCTCCCGTGTCGGATGAGGTGTGACCTCTGCGTGAAGCCCCGTCCACACTGCCTGCAAACATAGGGCTTCTCCCCGGTGTGTATCCTCTTGTGGTCGATGAGGTGTGATGACTGCATGAAGCCCCGCCCACACTCCCTGCAAACATAGGGCTTCTCCCCAGTGTGTACTCTCTCATGTTGGATGAGGTATGCCATCTGCGTGAAGCCCCGCCCACACTCCCTGCAAACATAGGGCTTCTCCCTGGTGTGTATCCTCTCGTGTTGGATGAGGCTTGACTTCTCTGTGAAGTCCCGCCCATACTCCCCACAACCATAGGGCTTCTCCCTGGTGTGTATCCTCTCGTGTCGGATGAGGTGTGCTGTGTGCATGAAGTCCCGTCCACACTCCCTGCAAACATAGGGCTTCTCCCTGGTGTGTCCTTTCTGGTGTTGGGTGAGATTTGACCTATCAGTGCAGCCTTGACCCCACCCTCTGTTCTTGACTCTTCCAGTTGACATACCTGCCCCCACAAATGATTTGTCTGTGTCTTCTGGATTCACTTTCTGGCCTGTGCTGGCCTCCATCATTATTTTAGGTGTCCTGGAGCCCCCCATTTGTCCTTTGGGTGGGTTGGAAAAGGTCCCTGAAATCCTCTTCTGCCTTAAACTTTTAAGCAAAGTTTTGGAACTTTCTTTGACCTCTTGACCTTCAGCTGTGTTGGCCTGGACAGGGATCCTCTGGTTGGAGATGTTTTCCCGGAGGTGTTTGTGGGGGGACCTGAGAGGGGTGATTGCGCTCCACATGCTGGCTGAGGGATTTCTGACTGGAGAAGGCCAGAGAGCAGGAGGCACAGGGGTGGATCTCTGGCTTTGGTTCTGCTGAAAGAAGAAGTTTCTGGTCAGATAGATGTTGACAAAGCTGTCTGGGTGGGATGCTTTGTCTTCTGGTGGGCCTGCCCCACTAATCATTTTTATTGTGCTAACAGCACAAGCTGTGTGTGGCGTCTGTTAGGAATGGCATAAAACTAAATGTGATTTATTCTCAGAGGAATTAACGTTTAAACAAAAGGGTATTGACAAGCAGCCTATGTGTCAGAACATGTACCAGGGAGTCACTCCAGCTGGGCTGGGGAGGGAGACTGAGAAAGTGTGGGCTGTGCATCACTTCAGAAAAATGCAGAAAAAGTTTTGAACCAACCAAAAAAATTAAGACAAATATAAAGAAAGCTTAATATTGATATAACTTGCTTAGGCAACATCAGGGAGAGATTAGCCAATGAGGAACCAGGGGAGGGACTCATGTGCTAAAGAATAAGTTGCTTTTTGTAAGGGCCCTGAGTGGGCCTGCTCCCCAGACACCTGATCTTGCAAGGCAGCCATTAAAGCCTCGCTCCGTCGTTCTTTTTGTCTCTGTGTTGGCTTACTGAGTTCGGACCAGTGAAAGTATTTCTCACACATCTCCACTCCATTTTTATTCACTGCATCTTCCTCAGAAATCCCCCAAACCCACATCCAGGGCATTTTATATGTATCGCTCAGTCCAGGAACTTTCAAGTGTCTTCAGAGGCAGCTTCCCCCTCCCACAGATGGACCTGCAGTGGCCTTTTCCTACATCCTAGTATTGTCAATGTCCTATCTGCCTGTGACAGTGTCTGCAGCTATCTTATTCTTTGGAGAGGTAACAATGCTCCTGATGACTCAGGTGTAATCGGTCTTAGGTATTTCCTCTGAGGGGAATGGGATCCACTAAGTTAGGAGCCACTCAGCCTGGAGATGTAGAAATGTGGAAGGCAGGCTAGAATAGTGCTTAAAGAGAGCATGTGTGGGTAAGTCTGAATTTGATCATCCACATTCAAAAAGACATATTTAATTGAGGACCCCTGTGCTTCTGGATACCCACCAGGAGGTGGGATTCGGATTGGACAAGGGCGAGTGGTCCAGGCCCCACTGACTAAAGGGCTGGGCTCCTGTTGCCTCAATTAGACTGAAAATTGATTCTTTGTCAGTTTTCTACAAATCACAAAATGAAAGTATATCCTTCTTCAAGAGTCACACCACCTATTCATACTTGACTTATTTCATTCAGCCTTAGCATTTTAATTGCAGTAACAAGTCCTGTTTCAAATATATCCCAAATCATACTTCTTATGGCCCCAACTCCCATCTCTCCAATCAACCCACCATCCTCTTTCTGCAGTCTGTTTTCCAGAAATTAATGAAAACATTATCTCAGACCAGAGCACATGTGACTCTCCAGTTGAAAACTGCACACTGGTTCCATCTCACTCAGGAAAATCCCATGTCTTTATAGGTCATAGGCCGTGGGCTTCCATGTATGGACCCAACCTCTGTTCTTGCCCTCTAGGCCTCCTTCCCCTGGTTGGTCTCCCAGCCAGTCCTTGTCACCCCACCTCTCCTGCCTTGGATGGCGCACTAGCTGGTGCCTCTGCCTGGACTTCTTTGCCCACACGTACTTGCATGTCTCAAATGTTATCTCCTGAGAGAGCCCTTCCCTGACCTCTCTGCCACACCTCATGGCCCCCCTCATGGTTCCTAGACACCTTCCCTAGATTAGTCCCCCTCAAAGCACTCGTTGCTGTTTGATGCTGTGCACATACACCCACCCTTGTTCACCCATCAGCTGCTCGAGGGGTGATTCTCGATCGCTGCTGTTGGGCACAGAGCAGGAAGTCATACGAGAACTGACTGAACTGTGAATGAGTGCACATCAACACACACGTCATTCAGAAATATGGAACAAATTAAGAAGAAGCAGCTAAAAGGGCCAGAAGAAACTGTGTTGGGGAGAGAGTCGGTAGGTGCTTGGAAACTTTTTTTTTTTCCCCTAAGTCTTCCAGTACTCTGTGTATGCTGTGATATATTTTACGCACAAAGTATTACAAAAATCAGAGCAAAATTTTAAAAGTAAAAAGTGTTCCTAAGTGTCAAAGGCATATGAAATGAGTCCTTAATTTCTGAAGCATCTGAATTGCAATTTTACTGACTTTATCCTGGATTTTACTCTTTGTAAGAGTTGGACTATGAAATTCCCAAGAATCCTTTCATTTCTTTCCAGTTTAAGGAACAGTGGTGCTCACCTTTCCCTGCTGTGAGCTCTCCCTTCCACTTGCTTCCCCACTTGATGCCCAGCTACTGGCCATACTCATCTCCATACCAGACCAGCAGTTCATAGCCTGGCCTGATGACTTGGCAGATTCTGTAGAAGATTTGACTGTGATACTGAAAGGCCACAAGGTTCTGCTCGTCGTCGTCCCTGGCGCAGTTTACGTACCTGGGATCACAGAGGGCAAAAGGGAAGAAACCACCGGCAGTGAGTTCCTGCCGCTTACCATGTCCACGTCCAGCTCCATGCCCGGTGTTTATGGCTGGCTTGGACGCTGCCCCCTCCCCTCACTGTTCCTGGGGAAGCTTCCGTACATACCTCAGTCTCTTTCACGATATCATGTGAATTCTTACTGCCATGTCTTTCTTACTGTGCTCATCCTGCCTAGAATGCTTCCCTCCCTTGCCTAAGTAAGTGTTTTCCAAAGCCTGATTTCAGATTTAGCCTCCACCTCAGTTTGCCATAAAATCCATTGATGTTTAGCTTCCCTAAATTAAGTCTGTTTTGTAACACAGCACTTTAGGCTTGATTATGGACTCTGCTTTTAGATTAGCACATATCAGCCTAACTCATATCCTGTTTTGAGATGCCTTTGTCCAATCTCTCCACCCTTTTTAAGGTACCATTTACTTGCTTCCCCCGGGCTTCTATAGAAAATGGAGGTCCTTTTACCTTAGCATAATAGCACAGGACAACAATGGTTCATTCACATTTTGTGTCCCCCTGGTAAGGGAAGGGGCTGGGTCATGAAGCCCAGAGGCCTGCGGCCATACTACAGCTTATTTGAATGCAGCCTTCAGAACCCAGTTCTAATTAGAAGTGAATCTAAGAAGATTTGCTGCTCTCACAGGTTAAAGATGTGCTTCCCTCCCTTGTTTTAATTTATCTTGGCACTGTGTACTTCTTGAAAAAATAGGAAAATTATTGTTAAATCTTGAAATCAATTTTTTAATGGTTTTGCAATATGTCCTCCATAAGGACATGAATTATAATGTGTTTAGTTAAAGAATTCCCTTGTCTGAACTGGAACATAGTAAATGCCTAATAAATGTTGATTAGATAAGTTAAAGTGTGTGAATCTAGGCTCCTCAAGGTTTCTTCTAGGGCTGAAATTTTGTCTAGCATAGAGATTTATATTTTAGAACACGTACTATCTTTTTATTTCTTGTTTTTTTCTAAATGGCTCTTGAAATAAAACACTGTATGGAGTAAACAGAGAAACAGAGGCTTGAGGGAGACAACTGAGGGAGGCATGATGAGAAGGGAAGGAGTGTGGGCTTGTGAGAGTCAGATGTCCTCTCTGAAACTCAGAAAACTTGGCCTTACCTCATCCAATTGGCCCAAGATTTGTCCTTTCCATCCACGTACAAACAGGAGTTTCTCCCTGTGGTGATCTGAATTTCAGAAAGAGAAGTTAAAGGATTTTTTGCCGGGGGAGGTAACAGAAGAAGTGTTACACCGTATTGTTATCAATGTGCTTTCATCTGCATGGATTCAGGCACCAACTGAATGTGACATGTTCCTCAGCCATCGTCTACATATCTGAATCAATTTGCCCACTCAGAGCAAGGGCCCTGCAAGGGAGGAGCCACTTGTCTATGTCTGTACTTCTGTGCTCCCACCTACCTTCTGATCGTTACCTGGGAGCTCCATGCTGATGCAAAGTCCACCCATTGCACAGAGCTGACCATGTTATCTCCATCCATGTTCTGGTATGTAGAAGGTCAGGTCCCATCAATCCACAGGAGGGATGTGGGAAGCCGGAGGACAGGGGAAGAGATAGATGTTCTAACCTGCCAGGAATACCCGTTGTTGGCTGTCTCTTCATCTTCTGTGATTTGGCCCTCATAGGGGCCAAAGTGCACACCCAACGGCAGATCAGATGTTTCATTCCACACTCCAAGCCCAGCCTCAGGGATGCTTGATGGTCTGATTTTCAGCCCAGGGGGCAGAGTGAGGGCTGACCGGTTGGGATGTCCCTTGTCCACTGCAGTGTCCTTTATAAACACAGCCGGCCCATGAACAGCACAACTGTCAATGAAGACTTTCTGACACTTCTCACAATCTGCAGGTGAAAGTAGCAGGGGTCAGGGAAAGCATAGTGCACGTTCTTGAACGTAAAGAGCTTCAGAAAGAGTGCAGGCACTCACACCATTTAGCTTCAGTCCTGCATTCCAAGTCATTAGAGGAAGGGAATAATGTGGGGACTGAAAACGACAACATGAAATTATTGTACCAAGACACAACAGCCTTCTCTGTGAGTGGGCCAAAAGGGTCACTTACACAGGTAGTCGTCATCCTGGGGCTCGCTGACCTCTTGGTACACACAGCCCTTTCTTTCTCGTAGGTTATACGTCTTTCCTTCAGTCTCCTCTCCTGCAAGTTCTAAGTTGGAGAAGGGTAGGTAAGTGAGGTTGGTGAGGTCTGGAATGTTAGTCCATGTTTGGTCAGAAACTGAAATCTCTTCCCATCAAATGACCCCCTGTCCTTCTACACACACTGGTTTTCACCCCATTAACCACTGGTGCAGAGAGACTACCATTCAACACTGACTAGGGATGCTCAATTGAATTTCAGTTATTCTCATTATCAGGTTAAACTTCCCAAAGTTTGTACTTCGAAAATGGTTCATTCACACTTTTATTCATTCAGAGAATATTTGTTGAGGGCATGTAACATGGTAAGGCATTAAACAAAGGTCTGGGCATACAATACCAAGAAAGTATGGTCTGTTATCACAGATGGATTTATTGGACAACTTGCACAGGCCAATTCTTTTATTTTTAAATTAATGTTTTCAAACAATACATGAGCTATGCATCCTTATCTTCACTTTACAAATGAACATTCAGGAACTCAGAGAATTTATAAGATTTACCCGAGGCCCTAGTGTTAACTTCAGGCCTCAGGTTAGTCCAGCTTAAACCCGGGCCTATCCAAAGTGCAAACCGCATGCTTTCACCATATTCATCAGCCTTCCTAAAGGACTGAGGACTAAAGTTTTTCCTCTTACCCATTTTTTGTCTAGAGTGATGTCCAGAGGTACTTGCTTTTCCAGGAGGGGAAACTGGCTTCTGGGCCTGCTCAGGAGAGGAAATGTAGAAATGTACAGAGGGTATCAAGTACATCCGGGAAATGAAGTGACCAAACATGAGATTGGGAAGAGAACCGAGAAAGCTAGACGATAAAGGAAAGATGGCAAAGGTTGCAGACTGCCAGGTCCTGGAAAGAGTGTCTGGAATTGGATTAGCTGGTCCCTGTCAATTCTGTCTGAATAAGGTTGTAACGCCAGCTAGTTTTCCTCAGTTTCCTGACCCATAAACTGGCAAATATGTGAATTCTTAATGTTATAATGAACATGCAATGTCATACTGTTTTGTGACCAAATAATTTTGTGAGCTAATGCAGCATGAATGTGAGGTTAGTCTTGCTGTCAACTTACCTCCTCCCTGGCCTCCATATTTGAAGTCTATCTTATAGATACGATCTTCAGCTTTCCTTGACCCTCTTAAATCTAGTTTAATTTGTTTGATCTAGTTTAATGCGAATTACTCAGAAAATATACAGGGCCTTGAGCTGGTCCTGGGACTTCTGAGAAGAGTGAGGTATGAACAAGGTTCTCAAAGAGCTCCCATTTCAGAGGCAGGCTACACAGATGATTACAAATAAATGTGATGGCCTGAGTAAGGCTCGGAGGAAAGACTCACTTCCTCCTACAAGGATGAGCATTGGAAAGCAGTGCCAGATGGATGTGTTTTGGTTGAATAGTGTGTAGCCTATATGAAGTCCTATTTTCTTATTTGTTGTTCCTCAACCATCAAACCTGGATTTCCTCTGGGCTGGGAGATGCCTCTTTGGATTAGAGTTGGGGGCTGTGAGGGTGGGGATCCTATCTCCTTCATATGGGACTATTCAGTGTCAGTACTGACCATTTGTAAGCTTCCCTTAGTCAGAGGGTCTTAGCATATCTCCCACTGTAGCATAGCAGACAGGAGCTTAAGCTGTTATCACATGTAAGATGAGTGAAGTTACGAATAAAGACAGTGTGAGTTTTAGACAACTAGGAAAGTTTTAATGGGCTTGTAAGTGGTTTAGAGAAGGAGCTTTGGATCAGATTGCACTACCACTGAAACTGTGATCCAAGGCCTGTAATCAAACATTTCTTTACCTCAGTTTCCTCATCTATAAATGGTGATGGTTATAGTACCTACCTCATAGGGTTCCTGCAAGGCTCAAGTCAGGTTATTCATGTAAAATGCTTAAAATAAAGTCTGAAGTATTGTGAAAATAGAAACACGTGGTAGCTGCTTTGCTGCTGTTCTTACTCGCTATGAAAGTGATAGCAGACACTGTGCAGAAGGGACCAGGAGAGGCAGGCAGCAGCTTCCAGCGCACTCGGCGCCTTCTCCTCGTCTTACCTGTGTTTCGGTCCGTGAGAAAGATTTTCTTGTCAACAGGATTTAGGAAATACTCACCTTCCGGTGTTGACTCCGTTCCACTCTGAAGGCCACCCAAGAAGGTTCACCTAAAGGTGAAGAAAAATCGATGTTTCAGTTGTGAGTAATTCCAAACTCTGGACATTCGCACTAGGGCCATGGCTGTCTGAACTAGAGTGATGACTACAAGGAGCATTGAAGGGCGCTAGGAAAATGGTTTCTGAAGCATCATCGGGGCTTTCTATTGGGGTCATCAACTAATTTTTAAAAAATGTTTAAAAACTATTAGTAGAATTCATGCCTCACATCGAAAATTACCGAGTATCATAATTCTTCCAAGTGGTAAAGATACCTCAAGACAAATGCTGGGCATAGAAGCCACAGGGCATAAATCTGCAAAGAAGTAAAAAGCTAACCTTTTCAAAGAATATTGCTTCTCTCTCACTTACCAACTTTACATTTCCCTTATGGCCCCAGATGACTGGTTAGCCAGAGATGGGTAAGATTCCTCAAGGGAGGAACAACCTAAGACAGGCACAGTTGCAGGGGGGCCAGCAGGTGAGAAATTGGGGATCAACAGAGGTGAGGCTTAGAACCTCACCCCCCCTGTTTTGAGAGAAATCGTCTGCATCCGTGGATGTTTTGTTGCCCTTGTCTAGCCTGGATTAATCTTAGTCCATAGGCACACACCTGATCATCTACATTTGCCCTCTTACAGCACTAAACTATGTTTTCTACCTTTATCTTGCATCTACCTACCATTTCAGCATTTTATTAAAATAAATAAATAAATAAGGGAGAAATGTGGGATTCACATGTAAATCAAGTATAAAAATCAAATGAATAATCATATCTGACTTGATTGTTTATAGTTCATGATGCGCTATCAAAACCGAAAGTTTCTGTGATATGACTGCCCTTGCACTGTTCACCATGTAAGAACTTATTCACTATGTAAGAATTTGTTTACCATGTGAGAACTTGTTCGTTATGCTTCAGAAGATTGGAGACTGTTGAGAATTAGGCTTGGGGTGGATTAATGATTGTGCATTGAGTCCCCTATAAAGAATTTTATTGTTAACAACCATTTGATCAATAAATATGAGATGCCCTCTCAAAAAAAAAAACAAAAACGACACAGACATCAAAGACATGACCGAAAAGGAAACTACAGACCAATATACCTTATGAATATAGACACAAAAACCTCAATGAAATATTAGCAGGCTGAATCCAGCAACATATAGAAAGGATTCTATGCCATGACCAAATGGTATTTATCTCAGGAATAAAAAGTTAGGTTAATATCTAAAAATCAATTAATGTAATGTAGCATATCAATAGGATTTTTTTTAAAGCACCACATGACCATCTCAGTAGATGTGGAAAAGGTATTTGACAAAATTCAACACACTTCTAGAGACATTTAACAAACTAAGATTAGAAGTGAACCTACAGCTATTATCATGCATAGTAACTAGAGGCTTTCCTCCTGCCATGAGGAACAAAAAAGGAACAGGACTCTGCTCCTGCCACTTGTATTCAACATTTACTGGGGGTTCTGTGCAGGGTAATCAGGGAAGAGCAAGACACACGCCATCCAGATCAGAAAGGAAGAAGTAAATCTATCCCCATGTGCAGAGAGCGTGAGCTGGGATATAGGAAACCCAAGGAATCTACTAAAAAGCTATTGGAACTAATAAGATAAGCAAATTTGCAGAATACGAGGCAGAAGTCATTTGTATTTCTATATGCTAGCTATAATAATCTGAAAATGAGATTAAGAAAACAATTACATTTATAACAGCATCAAGAAGAATAAAATACTTCAGAATAAATTTAACAGAAGAAGTGCAAAACTTGTACCTGAAATTACAGGCCTAAAGAAATGAAAAGACATCCCATTTTCATGGATCAGAAGCCTTAATATTGTTCAGGAAAAGCTCTTCTGTTTCTCTGTACTGATTATTCTTAATAAAGCGGTTACAAAGCAAAAAAAAAAAATGTTTTTTTAAAAACTAGAGAAAATGTCATTTATATTTCTTCCTATGTTCATAAATTATCTATTGCATTCATCGTTAAATAATAAATTGGCCTTTTTTTTGACAAAAATACCAAACAAACTGGGAGTAGAAGGAAATTACCTCACTATAATAAAAGTCAAATATGAAAAGTCCACCTCCCACCTTGTATTCAACAGTGAAAAAAATGAGAGCATTTCTTGTAAGATTAAGAACAAGCCAAGGATGCCCATTCTAGCCACTTCCATTCAAAATAGTACTACAAGACCTAGCCAGGGAATCACACAAGAAAAGGAAATAAAAGGAATCCGACTTGGCAAGAAAGAAGTAAAATTATGTATGTTTGCAGATCTCATATGGAGAAAATTGTAAAGATTCTTCCCAAAATCCTGTTAGAACTAATAAATTCAGCAAGTTGCAGGATACAAAGTTAACACTCAAAAATGACTTGTACTTCTATGCACTACCAAGGAACAACCCAAAAAGGCAGCTCAGAAGACAATCCATTTTGAACAGCAACAAAATGAATGAAGTAATTAAAAGTAAACTTAACCAAGGAAGTGAAACACTTGCACACTGAAAATCAGAGAACACTGTGGAAAGAAATTAAAGAAGACACAGTAAATGGAAAGGACACAGTCTCTTTAACAAATGGTGGGGCTGAGAGTATCTACATGCAAATGAATGAAAATGGGCCCTTTTTTTGACATCATATACATAAATCAGCTCAAAGTGGATTACAGACCCAAATGGAAGACCTTAAAGTATAAAACTCTTAGGAAAAAACAAGGGCAAACTTCCTGATATTGGAATGGGCAATGATTTCTGGGATATGGCATGAGAGGCACAAGAAACAAAATAAAAAATAGATGAGACCACTAAAGATTTCTGTGAAACAAAGGACACAACCAACAGAGTGACAAGGCAGCATGTAGAATGTGAGGAAGTATTTGTAAAACATACATATGATAAGGGTTTAATATCCAGAATATATAAGGAACTCCTACAGTTCAGCAGTAAAAAATCAAGTGACTTAATTAAAAATTGGGTGCTATGGACTGGATTGTGTCCCTCCAAAACTCCTATGTTGAAACCCTAACCCCCAATGTGATGGTATTTGGAGATGGAGCATTTTGGACTTAACTAGGGGTGGATGAGGTCATGAGAGTGGGGCCTTCATGATAGGATTGGTCTTGTCAAGAAGAAGAGAAAGATCTGTGTCTTTCTCCCTAAGAGCATGCACAAAGAAGAGTACCAACACAGAGCAAGATGGAGGGTGCCTAAAAGCAAGGAAAAGAATTTTATCATGATAGCACCTTGATCTTGGACTTCCAGTCTCCAGAATGAGAAAAACACATTTCTGTGGATTGTCACTCAGTCTATGGTATTTCATTATGGCAGCCTAAGCTGACTAATACAATGGAAAAAGGACTTGAATATATATTTATCCAAAGAAGATACATGTAAATGACCCACAAACATATGAAAAGATGCTCAATATCAATAATCACCATGGAAATGCAAATGAAAACCACAGCAACATGTCATCTCATACCTGTTAGGATGGCCAATATGAAAATAACATATAATAACATGTGTTGACAAGGATGTTGGGAAACTGAAATGCTTACACACTGTTTGTTGAAATGTAAAGTGTTGCAGCCACTATGTAAAACAGTGTGTAGTTTCCTCAAATAATTAGAAATAGAACTTCTTTATGATTTGGCAACCCAACTTCTGGGTATATATGAACAGAATTTGAAAACAAGATCTTGAATAAATATTTCTGCACTCATGGCCACTGCAGCATTATTCACAGTATCCAAGGTATGAAAGCACCCTAAATGATGGATAAATGGATGAAGAAAATGTGCTATACACACAGACACACACAGGAATATTATTCTGCCTTTAAAAAAGGAGGAAATCCTCTCATATGCTACATCATGGATGGACCTTGAGGACATTATGCTAAATGAGATAAACCAATCACAAATGACAAATACTTACATGAGATATCTAAAGTAATCAAATTCATGGAAACACAAAATGGAATGGTGGTTGCCTGGGGCTTGGGGGAGGATCCCCTGGGGAATTGTTCACTGGTTATAGAGTTTCAGTCATAGAAGACGAAAAGTCCAAGCAATCTGCTGTACAGCAATGTGCATGTAGTGAATAACACCGTGTTGCCAAAAGTAAATTCGAAATGGATCAAAGACCTGAATGTAAGTCATGAAACCATAAAACTCTTAGAAAAAAACATAGGCAAAAACCTCTTGGACATAAACATGAGCGACTTCTTCATGAACATATCTCCCCGGGCAAGGGAAACAAAAGCAAAAATGAACAAGTGGGACTATATCAAGCTGAAAAGCTTCTGTACAGCAAAGGACACCATCAATAGAACAAAAAG